CCTTCTTCGTACGGCATTTGGGAATGAAAAAAGCCAACCCACCTACCGTTGAGTAAACGAATTCTAATGCTGTGAGGTCAGACAGTTTCTACAAAGTGAAACCAGCTGATGAATCAGGCTAAGATTGTTCCACATTTAACTCATCTGTCACTAACCATGTCAAAAGAAAAAGCACAAACTGTCTTTCTGAACCTGAGCTCCTTCAAATAATACATAATTGTGGTTTGTACAGTACCGTTTGCGAATTACGCTTATATTCCAGTATCAAGCTTCTTCCTACAGCTACATGGCCACTTGAGTTTATTCTACAACAGAGGGGTAAACAAAGAATCATATATCTCCATAGATCTTTCCAATTTATTATATGGAAGAAATATGAAATAAACATTTATCAAACCACTATTGTAAACATGAGTGACAGACTGACGTTTCATAGTGAAAATATGTGAAATACATTTTGTGATTGAGTCTGGCGAAGGCGTGTGGACTTGAAAAACAAGCAGGGGTGTTTATAATGCTTACACAGACAGTTGAATCCGAATGACAGAAGCAGGAGAGGTTGGCAAAGCTAATAAACGCACATTAATATTTAAGGGCGCTGCTCAGTCCTGCCCTCGGCCTTCCTCTCCAGTCTGACACATACAGACTGTTCGCCATCACTATACGCGAGACAGCAACAAAACCTGAAGAGTTATAGCCAACACTTTTAAATAAAGCACTTAATCTGATTCTAGTTGTTCTCAGTCTTACCTATTTAACATATTCTGTTGCTATTTTAATCTTCCGTTCATTCTCTTTAGAGGGTGTGCACAGCCTTTGTAAGCCCTAAGCTTCTACCGGTCTATAGTTTGCAAAATTCCTCTGTTAAGTCTCTACTTTTCTCATTCAAAGGTTACAATTAAGGTGCATTTGTCTCTTGGTTCTAGGCTTGGTTAAGATTAGTTTAGCTGGAGTATATGGAGTAACTTGTATATGCTTTGGTGACACTGTGTTAGTCTCTCATCTGGATAAATGGACTCAAGTAAATGCTTAAAATGCTTACTTTGTTACCAATTTTATTAAAACACTTTTCTGGCGACCAATGAACAACTTTCTTATCCTTGTAACAATCCAGAATAAGATGTTATATGCTGAGATATGCCTAATAAGACAATTACCCGCCACTCAAAGTGAAGAGCTGGCAGGAAGGGGAATAGCTAATCGCTTTAATTTCCCCCAGGTTATTTTATGGAGGACATAACTGCCCTGTTCCGCTCCTGAAGAGGTCCTTGTGCAAAAATGGTCAAATTGCAGCACTTATTTGAAATGAGCCCACGTTGTGTTCAGGAGAGGAACTGACTCTTGACGCCGATGGCCCATTAGCCCCTTGTCACATCCACTCTCTGAGTCCAAGTGATCCCCAGCAGGAGCAGGACAATCAAAGGACCAGACACCTAGGATCTGTGTGCGCTCAGGGCTTCTGGACATGCACAGTGGCTTGACAGCTCAATGTGTTCATGATCATGTTGGTGAAGATAAAATAAAAGGCATGAATATACAGCTGAGTTGTTTTGTTTTGTGAAAGCTTCAGTGTGTGTCATGTGATGTTTTTAATATCATGGTTACAAGCAACATAACGCTAACTGATAAATAAAAGCGTTGGTTCAAAAAACGTTTTATTACTTAAAAAAAAAAAAGTTGTGTTGTATAGAGTTTGGTCTCACACTGTTTGAGCTAGTCCTGGCTCCTCTGGTGTTACTCTTGGTCTTCACTCAGTGCTCCATTGTCATCTGGACCTAAATATTTATTGATCTGACACTTGTATGGATGCAAATTTTTTTCAGCCCATACAAAAAAAAAAAAAAAATCCAGGAGCATTATCGTATGGATGTAGCCTTAATTCTGTTTTACTCCAGGTAGACTTGTGTTTTTAGATCTGGTTTAGTCCGTTAATTGTATTTTAGTCCTAATTGTGGTCCTGGTTCTGGTGCTAGGTCTTGGTTTGGCCCTGGCTCAGTCACTGTTTTCATATAGACTTGATGTGTGTCGGGCCAGTCCAAATTGAGCCAAAGATGTAAATTTTGTCTTCTTATGTACTTTAACTTCTTGGGTTCTTTTAAAGACAATACAGTAAAGTGCATTTACCTTGTTGACATGTTTCGGCTGCTGCTGCAAGCCATCTTCAGATCTGTCCTCGGTGTTCAGCATTCCACGTTCAAAAAAAGGAACACCAAAAGAAATGTGAAAAGGAAACATCAGGGAGACTCATCAGAACACAAAGAGACAAAGCAGAACAGGAAAAGCTATCCTCCATATCAGACCACTGTAAAAGAAATAACCACATTATGGATTGGGATGGGGCTCGGGTCACTGGATCGGAAAACAACAAGTTCAAACGCTGGATCAGGGAAGCCATTGAAATCAGGAAATGAGGCGCAGACAGCATTAACCGTGATGATGGAGCGTTCCTGCTTTCACACACCTGGGACACCCTCCTCCAGAGAACACCGGGTGACGGGAGGCATGGTCAGTCTGAGCAACCTGCCAGGTCAATCAGGATGACCACATCTACAGGAAGTAATCCACAGCTGATATACGAGACATCACTATCAACACTGGGGCAATTCTGAAGATGGCTTGCAGCTTGCAGCCGAAACATGTCAACAAAAAAAATACACTTTACTGTATTGTCTTTAAAATGAACCCAAAGTCCAAATTGATTCCTGTTAATGTCTTTGTTCTGATTTAACTTACAGTTCACTTGTGAAACCACTGTAAAATAATTGGGATAATTAACTAGAGTGGTCGTTTTCTAACCATAAGTTTGTTGATTATAGCCCCCAGTGCCAAAAAGCGCTCACTGTTGTTGTGTCCATGAGCATGACATTTCAGCCACCTTGCTTGTGTGAATACAGTGCAGCTATAATTGGTGGTGATTTCAAAAGCTCTTGGCACAGATTGGCAGCCACAAACTTGAGTGAATGGTTTTGAGGAGACAAATTAGTCTATATTCCTCAAAGTGTAATCTATAATATGGGAACTTTTATGTATTAGCAAAAACAGAATAGCTCCTCATCTTTCCCTTTACTCCTGTTTCAACCTTGACAAAGTCCATCCAGTTTTACTCTCAGTGGAATGACAAGTTAGTAGGTCCTATGGAATATAGATCAGTGCTAATGTGCTCATATATTATACCGCAGTGTTTTGTAATGGCGTGTATCCATGGTGTCAATGGCTGTGTTAAAGTGACAGCAGTGATCCGGCTAAATGATGACTCCAGAGATGGTCTCCGCCATCGGTAAAGCTTCACTCTAATACCGTTAATGGCCACTGTGGTAATTGTAGCACATTATACCTAAGGAGCGGCCGGGTGGATCTTACACAAGGCTTGATTTATGCCTGGTTTTATGGACATTCACAGGTTGTTGTCCAACTTGACTCATTTTCATAATAGTGTGGGACAGGGCTGACTTAATGTGCGCATTAGGCACGAGCAGCAGTGTTTGTAGAGGTGCCGGTGGCGCACACAATCGCAGCAGGTGAATTATTTATGATGCTCAGACCCTCAAAGCACAAGCTCATCACAGTGCGTTTTCTGAGCTGTGCGTTTTACATTGGGGTGTATGAGACGAGAACACTGCGCTCTTTGTTTGACACTTAACACAACTGCTTTTCTCATGACACACCCAAATAAGCGCATCATTATAGGATTAACAAACAACTATCTCGAGAATTGCTTTCCACGCACTCCAAATTGCATTTCAACTACATGCATTTTTCATTCACTCTTCATTCACACTCTGCTTTATAACAGCTGCCCTGAGGCATTCAGACAGAGACACTGCCTGCCACTATGACCCCCACTAAGCAAAGACTCTGATGTGTCTTAAGAAAACACTCTAATAATACAATATTGTGATATGATAAGAGAGATTAAACCTTCAACTTTTTGAATACAGAAATGTCCTCAACATATTCACAAACTAAAATAAGTCTGCAGAGTTCTAAAAGCACCTAAAGGACTGAGAAATCAAACTGTGAAATTCAGCTGAGAGAAAAGCACAAACCCGCCTCCCTTCGTCCACAAATGCATGTTTTTTTTTTTTTTTTTTTTTTTTTTACAAACAAAATAGTCTGTATTTCAGCAAAAATAGGCTGAAGTATGTCCATCCTCGTAGCCCTCTTTGGTTTGATTTGTTTGGACACTTCACTTTTGGATTTCTTCCAAACTAGTATTGACCTGTGATTGATTTGAACCACCCTATTTACCCGGGACAGTCCCAGTTTTGAGCACTGTCTCCCCTGTCCCAGTAGATTTATCCAAAACCAGTGATTTGTCCCAGTTTTATACAAGAAATGTCCCAGATGTAGCTATTTTTGACCAATATGACCCCTTCCAACAATAAAGAGAAGCAAAAATTGTGATTTGTTTTGGTAAAATACAGAAAAGCTGCTTAAAAATGACCAAAACACAAACAAAATGTAACTATACTGGCTCACATGCTAGTCATGAATGGTCTCTGCATAACATTTTTCCTTAATCACGCAGTCGTTTCACAGTTTTATTATTACCAACCACCAAAAAACCGAGGACATCCCAGTTTTTTTATTTTATTTTGAAATTCTGGTCAACCTAAGCTTGGGCAATCACAAACGCAGCAGCACATGGGCAGATTGATTGTTTGTGAAAAATGTATCTTGCTGACCAGGTTATGAAAAACCCACATCATTGAAAAAAGTGTTATAAGACCGTTCACTGGAAAAGTTACATAGTGCACCCTTAAGGTAAACTTATAGCCTATAAAGTATGAAGACCTAAACAGTTTGCTGGCTACGAGAAGCAGGCTTAATTGTACAATTCTAATATTAGGCCTATTTATAATAAAATAAACACTTCGTTGTTTTGGTCCAACTGGCGCTTGATCCCCCTCCCGCGTCCCAGACCACGCCTCTCGCACGCAGCATCCTCTTCAGATCATCACTCGTACTTCACACAGAGTCAGCGCCCAGCGGAGCCCAGAGCGCACGGCGTGTGCCCCGGACCGCGTCTCTGCTCCACCGGAGACTGTCCACAGTGCGCGGACATGAAGGCGACACCGTAACCAACACCGTGACCTCCACCAACACGCGCACGACCCGGACAGAGGAGGAGAGCTGCAGGTAAGCACACACCGATCAGGTCGCGGAACAGATTGACTTGTAATAGAAAATGCCTGATTACGGCAGTAAACTATTCAAACGGTGAAAGTGAAATATGAACGAGTCAGTCCAGCAGGAGGAGATAGATTCGGCAGTTCGGTTGCAGTTAGTGCAAATTAATACTTTTGCAGACTTTTTAAACTTTAAAATGATAATCTACCGCTTAATTACTGCATTTATGAAATTTTAGCAATTATTTTAGCACTATATATGGGCTTTATCACGTTATAGGCAACTTTGGCTCTGCGCAGCTCCCGTGGTAGGCTACTGCTTCTTGCATAGGCGAAATCAAGTGAACTTTGGAGATGTAGTTAGATCCAAGTTCACGTATTTTCCACTAGAGATTCCATTTTAGGAGACTGGGCAACTTAAAAGTCATATATTATGCAAACTCTTGACTCTTGTGGACCAAATTTAAACCCAGCGGAAGAAAATGGATGGGCGAATTGGATGCTTGAGTAACCCTTTTTCTTATTAGTCTGTCTAAATCTCCAAAGCTCAAAATGTCAGAATGCACCGTTCCACCTTGTGAAGTCATGAAGCAGTAGTTTTCAAGTTAACATCTACATTTTATCTTTTGTTTATAAGAGATTGGCAATTCCAGTGCTGAAATCATCCAAATGATTCTAGTGTAGGTGTATGGATCTTAAAAACACCAAATGTAGTGCTGAAATTATCCAAATGATTCTAGTGTAGGTGTATGGATCTTAAAAACACCAAATGTAGTGCTGAAATTATCCAAATGATTCTAGTGTAGGTGTATATAACTCAAAAACACCACGGAGCACTACCTGTATTACCACATGACATCACAAAGTGGAACAGAGTGTTTTCAGTTTGGGAGAAGAACTCAGCAAGAGAAAACAACATTATAACATAGAACAGAAAATATTGTGTTATGGGCCCTTCAAAGTCACTCAGTATAAGTTCCCAAAAACAGCCTAAAAAATGTGTTCCATGACAAGTAGCCCTAAGTTTACATAATTATTGCAAGTAGAAATCTGGTCAGTCTTAAGGGCTTAAATTAATTACCGTAGTATAATAGCTTTAAGAACCAGAGTCTTTCCTGTCCCTTGATTTTGTTCCCATGGCCTATGTCTGGTGCTCCCTACAGACATCCATCACGAGGGCTAGGTGACAGGTGCTATTTTCAGAGCTGCTGCCTGTCATCATTATTCTGCATTACACTCTAATAAAGGTTTATTAGTGAAGAGCCTACAGCAGAGAGGCGAGGAGGCACAGTCAGGCAGCGTGGCATGTATCATCAGAGCGGTGCCTGGACTAAACTTGTACATTTGTCACCAGAAATGTAGCCTACAGTTAAGGCCACAAGTGATTCATGTCCTGCATATGGATCTGTTGCTGAACGTCTCTCTGGAAATGTCAAACAAATAACAAATTACACTGGTGATAATGTTATGAAGACTTTTAGTATTATTTATTGAAGCACTAAAAGCATGGCATTGCAGGTAGGGAAGGGTGTTATGGCAAAGTATATCACATATTTGTGGGACAGTAATCGATAAAAGAAAGTCGATTAAATACATGTCCTGAATAGTTGACTAAAAAGGAGGCGTGGCAAAACTATTATGTATTTCTGTGTTCTGACCCAAACTGCACTCAAAAGCTTACAACTGCATGGGAGTGCAGATAAAAGTACTAGGAACAATGAATTTACATAAAGACAGATTAAATGTGTGAGTTTAATCTGCCATTTTATATAGAAATACCAAAAAAATACCAATTCAGCCTCACTCACTTATTGATTTATCCTTTTTGCTGTTGTTCCATACATATCTCTGTGATCTAAATAAAATAATCAGTCATCTAATACAAATTTTGGTCAAGTAGATAAAGACCTACAGCTCTACATGTTGCATTTTTCCAGAAGCACTAAGCAGCTTTCACTCTGTAATGTCTTGAATGGTTGCTAAAATAATTGGCTTCTTTTGATAGTACAATAGACAGCATGTATCTATGTTCGAGAAGAGCTGTTCTTATCGAAAAACAACAGTGGGTCAAATCATGTTTTGATTTTATATTGTCATATCGTTGTCCATCCTTGATTGCAACTGTCACCCTTAGATGTAATTTAGAAGCGTTTGTGCAGGGGGTGGCACAGTGTCTAGGTGGGTTCCCTCTTTTTCCCCCATCAACGCAAAAAAAATGCACCGTAAGTAAAATCCTTCAGCTAAAGTTATCCTCCTCATCTAGCTCGAGAACTGGAGATGGGTCCCGGACACTGAACTCTGCCAGGGTAGCACCACTGAAGGATGGGTTAAATGCAGAGGACAAATTACCATATGGGGACAATAGCCTACCTTCCGAGTCAGGAGCGGATCTAAACCAGGCTGTTGATGTTGCGTGACTGTGGATGTGACTGTGTGAGCAGACAGACCATCCCTCTCTGCTCCGTGTCCACTGCATCCATCAGCGCTCCTCCGTGACATGGACACTTATTAGATTTCACTCACGTTTGCCTTTGCACCGGCACTAATTGAATGCATCCAGGATCCAGGCAGGCACACCCACCAACGTGACCTTGGCTTGTGCTCCAACTCCAGTCAATGTTCAGGGCCTGGAGAGATACTATTACTTTAAGATTAAACCACCGCCCCTATGATTTCATCTCATATGGGTGAGCTGCAATAAATTAATATTCCAAAGAAACACTACTAAAAAGAATATGTATCTCTATAAAAAAACATACATGCAAAGTCTATAGAAGATAAAAACTACACTAAATATGACAAAAGCATTTACTGAACAATAAGTAAATGACAATATGTCCAAATACACGAGTGGCCAATTTTATACCAAATATTGTATTTAGAATTGTAGAAATTTTTGACGATACTAAAATTTCAAAATTGATATCTGTACTAAGGAATAGACTCGATACTTAATACCAATACCACAATAGATAATATCTTTAGACAATAGAATGTAATTTTCAGCATTAAATCATAGTACTTTCTTTTATTATGGAGTGGTCTTATATCTGTACAATTGCTCAGTCATTCAGGTAGATCATTCTAAGGAAAGTTTAATTTCTGTCCAGTGAATGTGACTTTTTTTTTTATCGATACCTTGTTTGAACAGACATCTCTCTGATTGGTGGGCAAAAAAATAAGAAACTACACAAGTTAAAATGTCTGTTCAAACCAGGTATCGATAAAAAAGTCACATTCACAGGACAGAAATGAGCCTTTTCTGAAAAGCTTTAGAATGATCTTGAGCTGTATCGGAACAAGTATAAGAGCACACACATGTATACGCCCATGGACCACTGTGGAACCAACCTGAACCATTGAGGAATTATACAGATGTAAGACCACCTCGTAATAAAAGAAAGTATTCCAATTTAATGATGAAAATGGCATTCTATTGTCTAAAGAAAGTGTGTTTTTTATTGTCACTGTGGTATTGGTATTAAGTATCAAGTCTATTCCTTAGTACAGAAATCAATTTTGAAATTTTAGTATTATGACAACACTAGTCGCAAGTAACATGAGGGTGCAGCGATCTACCAAATCACCATCCGCCTAATATGACGCACAAAATGACTCCAGCTTTCTAATTTCAGCATTAACTTCCATTCCAATATTTTACAAGTTCACCAAATGCCTTCTGGAATACAGTGAGTGATGCTTTAGGCACAGACCATGGTCCCGCTGTGGGCTGCTGCAGGCATTTGTCAGGGCTCCCCGCTGACACCTCTCCAGTCATCTCCTCTGGCTCTGATTTACGCGTAAGGTGACCGCTCTCATCACTCAGCTCCTCTCTCCTCCTCTCGCTGATTTGTAGGGCTTTGTTGGTCCTTAGGCATGTGAAGGACGCGGCCACACTCCGCCTTCCAAAACAATATCATAAGCAGCCTCCATTAGCCATATGGGCCTCAGTCTGCTGGTGCAGTCTGGGCACAGGCCTACAGCATCATGCCACTATTCTAATCAGTGCCGTAGAAGCTTGCACATGTTCACTTGCTCCTGCCATGCTGGGGTTTTCATCTTGTTTATTACTAAAATGGGTTAATATTTCAGTTTTGGGGTGACAGATATGTTTCATGATAGACTGTATAAACAACTTTGGACACCTTAGTAAGGATAGTCTGTATATCGGTGGTATCAGTGATATTGGAAGATTTGTTTATTTATTGGTACAACCACAAATAGTTGATATCTGATAGGAAATTTAGCTTCTAGTTTCTATGATTAACAAAATATACAGTGAAGAGCTTTATGGATTACTGTGTGCTGACAGAGCAGAGAGGGGCAAGCGTTATGAGCTCTGAATGGAGAAATGTTCAAAATATTAAATGGAAGGAAGTGAAACGCTAAATAAAAGTAAGCAGACTGTATAAAGAAGTGGATTAAGTGGATTTGGGTCTGGCCAAATGAAGCTCACTGAGGTTATAAGGGTGAATATGGAGCAAGTTCCATATTAGGAATAGGAATTGATTTAAGGACAAAATAAGCAAAGCAAAATATAAACACCAGGATCACAGAAAGCAAGTCAGTACAAACATTTTAAGACCAAAATGAGCAGCCTGTAATAGTTATAGAAAGAAGGACGATGTTTTCTCAACACTGGAACTAGAAGCACACCCATAATCACTTCCTATTTGTAAAGTGACTCCTGGCAGTTTAGCTATGTCCATTTATATATAATACATACTTATTTTATATAAAATGTCAAAGAAACATTTTGAATAATATACATTGATTGCTGCTGTTATGACTACCACAACAACTACTTTTACTGCTACTCCAACCTCTACTGCTATTATATTTCTACTTGTATTAATACTGTTACTATTACCACTAGGGATAGGGTAACAATAACTGAAATATCGTGATATTGTATTGTCAAAGTTCTCACAATAATATTGTGGACCATCACAATATATTGAATTAGAAGTCTCTTTTCTTAATTTAAGAGTTATGGTGCAGCAATAGCTACAAAATACAGAGGGAACTACATAGACAATGATCCTTTGCTCCATTTCAGTGTAGACTACATGAAGAAATTACAGTTCAAAGCACTTTTATGTCTTAGTTCTTGTCAAGGCATTTCAAGAGGAAAAAGTAGCATATTCAGTTTTGTTAGCCTCCACAAAATATCACAATAAATATCGTACCGTGAGATGTATATCATGAAAATATCGTACAGAGAGATTTGGATATTGTTACATCCCTAATCGTGAGTCTTCCCACCATATGTGAGCTTCCCCACGATATATTGCAATAAATATCATACTGTGAGGTTCATACTGTGACAATATTGTATCATGAGACTTGGATATCATTACACCCCTAATTACTAATATAACCCCAAAATAGAGGAGACCAACCAGTAGAAAACAGAGCCCAGTCCCCTGCGTTGTCCTCACACCTGGAGTGGCTCGGTCATGTGACAGTTCTGAACATAGCTCGGAGCTCACAGCTTTCTGTTGTTTTTGCTGAGTGTCCATTTTCCGCAGCTGCACACTCTGCACCTGACTCACACCTCATCACCATTATAACCTTGTGTTTCCGTTCAACTATAATATGCCCTACACGTTTCTTTACTGCTAAACTTTCACATTTACAGATTGTACTTTTAAATAGGCTACTTAGACAAAATCCCCCCGATGTTAACCACTAAAGAGACAGTTTTGAGAGGTGCTGCCTTTAGAGCCAGAGAGGTGTTGCCTTTAGAGCTGTAACCTTTTATGGTGCAATGGCCTGGTTTGAAGTTTGTGGGCCCTGCTTTCAAACATTAATTTTGTGTCTATTAAAATCAGAGGTGTAAAGTACGCAGTTATATCTAATCCCATACATGAGTAACTTTCTAATAAAATAATACTTCTCAGAGACCATACTTTAATGCTTTATGTTGACAATATTAAATGGTTTTGTACATTTGCATTTATTTATAAAGAATCTTCCAATATACTTTCAAATTTATATAATTATTTTTATATTATTGTATATTATATTTCATGCTTTGTCCATCTAATTACTTTGTTTTCATTAACAACAGATAAAAAGTTGGCCAAAATGCAGACAGTTGCTCTTGTGAAGTGCTTCCCCAAAGTCCTTAATACCTATAAAAATCCTTCTTGGCTAATTTCTTGGACCGCTACTTTTTGTACTTGAGTAATATTATTTTGTTTGAGCTTTTGGCAACTTTACCCACCTCTAAAGCAAAATATAAAACAATTTCACCAACCTATCAGCTCAGAACAATTCATGTTTGTCCTGGAATCCCTTTTGTTGTATCTTGACCTCAAAAATTTCATGTCGTATTTTGTGGCTGGTGCCATACTAAACAAAAATCAATGCATCTTCATTCATTTCATTGGCCTCTATAGACCTGATCCGGTCTTGTGTCACTCTGGGTAACCTGAGTGTTATGTTCATGATTAGGTCTGGGGTTTGGGTGCTCGACTCAGCAGGATTCTATAGGCCCTCAGCAGCTGACAGGTTCTGTTATACTAAACTGACTTTTTGATTAATTTAATTTAGTATACATGGTTGCTTTCTCATCAAAATATACCTGGAGTCTTTTTGTACACTAGTGCATGTTATAATTTCAGTTTTATCACGATGTATGTACACCGTATTTTTCTTAAAGTAATCTGTGTCTTTTGAATGTTCAGACTTCACTCTGATTGGTTAGATCCAGCTGTCACTCACTCAGAGCCTTACAGGGGTTAACCAATGACAGAAGTGTGTCACAAATAAGTGTGTTTAACTTTATAGCTGGTTTCAAGATTAAATTTGTGAAACCTGATACAACAATATGACCAAGTGACTATCCAGTATAACTCTACAGTGTTTTTTAAAGTCCATACATAAAGTCCATACGCTCCACAATTTACCACCTGATAAAATCCTTGTATATGGAAATGTATTTAGGAAGCTTGTTTTATTGACAATGTCTCTGTATTTAAATATGGTAAAGGAGAAATTTAATTTGTCAACTGGACAAAAGTTTATTTGGTTGATTACGTTTCGCAGCTCATCCAAGCTGCTTCTTCAGTTCTGATCAGACGCTGGTGGGTACTTCCTTATATCTGCCTTTAGGAAGAAGCTAACTATAGTGAAAGTACTCTGAAATTAAGACACCTGTTTACAGTTTCTGTTTGTTACTTAGGCCTATTAAACTGCACTGAGTGTGGGGTCATATTAGTATAATTCAGGGTCATAATGGGAGCTTTCACACCTCTAGACCTGACCTGGCTACGCCTGTTATTCTATTGTTTGTTTTTTGATTTAGATTTGAGGATGGAGTTGTAAATAGGAGAAAGACGGAGCCTGAGTCCCCCATTTCTGTTTATAGAAATGCGGCTTCTTTAACTCCCCTTTCAATTCTTCAGATCTGTACCTCACTATCCTCAAAGGAGTGGCTGGTGACTTTTAGGTGGAGATTTTCCGCAGACTCAGATCCACTGCTGCTCTCTCGTCTGTTTTGGTACATCCTCTTGTGATGTGGCTGTTTTGTTTCTCCAATGTTTTATTTCTCCAATGCAGTCTTCTCTACACTGAATGGAGTAAACAACTTTAAATATGTTAAACTCTCGTCTTGTTCTCATGGACCAATATTGTGTCTTGTATCGTCTTGTGGATTCCCTGTCTCGCACCATACCTGTTTCTTTACATTAAAATGTCTGGTAGAAAGTGCTGTGTGTGTGACTATTTATTATTTGTATTATATTCTAAAATGAGCTGCAATACTTTGTCATTTCAGACTGAGTGGCGATCCGTGTCCGGCTGCAGTACCCTGGGAGTCATGAGGACCAGAGGGTGAGAGCACAGAACACTGCACTATCAACATGACCATGATACAGTAAGAAGGGAAAGAATACTGAAAGGAACAAAACTAGACTAACTAAATGTATAGATACAATGGGAAGTGAAGGTGTAGCTAGGTATTATATTTGTTGTGTTGGAGGTTGGGATTTGAATTCTTTGCATTCTGCGTCATAACAAAAAGAAACCATATTTGCTTCCTCTTGTCTGGCCTCCTCTTTCAGCAGGGCTTTAAACCATACAGAGAAATGTATAATTGCTGTTCATTTACAAGTCATTCTCTCTGCTAGGCCAGACCTTTAATTCCTCTCCCTCTAAAGATGCAGCACATTGATGCCGACTCCTCTCCTTTCAGTAATTTTCTCTGACCCTGCCTCAGATTCTCTCCCTCCCTTTCTCTCTGCCCCAACATAATTTCTACATCTATCTCTCTCTCACTCTGCCCCCTACCTCTTTCTGTCTCTGTCTCTGTCCATACTTTGGCTCTTCTCTTTCTTCTCTCTTTGTACTGAATTTCTGCACCTCTCTTTTTCTCTTTCTCTGTCACCTGCCTCAGCTTTGCTCCTAGCTTTTTTTCCCCCCCTGCTGCCTGTCTCTTTGACCTTGCCTAAGCTCTTTTCTCTCTCTGTCCCAAACTTACATCTGTTCTTCTCTCTCTCTTTCTTTCTTTCTCTCTCTCTTTCTTTCTTTCTTTCTCTCATTCTCCCCTCACATCTCTGCTCCTCTCGCCCTCTGCTCCTTGCACTAGTTCAACCCTGTCTTTTTCTCTTCCCTCAGCTCCTCTCTCTTTTCCCATGTCTCTTTCTGACCCTGCCTCTTGTCCTCTCTTCTTCTCTTCCCCTCCTCCTCTCTCTCTTCTTAGTCGATTAATCGGTCAATCAGTGAAGACCAAATTTAAAGATTTATATGGGACAACAGCAGAAAGCAAAAGTTAGCGAGTTAGTTGACATTTTCATATTTTTTGGTTAGTACATAAAAAGGCAGATTAAACTTTTGAATCAAAAGCTGAATCTGTCTTTATATAAATACATTGTCTCTCGGTACTTTTAAATAGCTGTTTTAACATGAAGTCCCATACAGATGTAGGTTTGTGAGTGTAGTTTCGGTCAGATACATAATAGTTTTGAGAGCTTTTGCCATGCTCCATTTTCAGTAAATGAACTGATCAGCAAGACATGTCTTTAGTCGACCAAGAATTTCTTTAGTCGACAACAACCAACTACGACCTATTGTTTTGATAATCTCACTCTCAGTCCTTGCCCTAGTCATCCTATCTTTCTTCCTCTTCTTCCTCCTCTTCCTCTCGGTATCTGACCCAGCTCTGTTCATCCCTCGCTCGTGGCCCATGATGAATCCTCGCGCGCTCCTCCTCGCGTGTCAGCACCTCCGCTGGTTTATAGGCTGCTGCCGAGATGAGGTGACAGTGCGCACTGAAATATGGCCGAATTAAGAGCGCTGCTATGTGTAAACAACGCAAATAAACAACAAAATCCATAAATCAAGTCCACCAAGGCCCAGCGCTGTTAGAACTTTGTTGACCTGTAATATTTGGAGGTTGTTTTGTGGAGCCCATAGTTTTTGCTGACTTTACATTTGCCATTTATTGTAGCAGCACAGTGGAACATGTATTATTCATGATGCACATGCAAGTGAGCTTTTAAGAAATATTGTTTTCATAAATCTTAACTTGCTTTGTGGCTAATGTGGCAACGTCGGAATCACTATTATGAATGAAGTTGAATGTAGTTGCCAAATTCAACGATAGTTCTCTTGTTTCAAAATTACACAACAAATCATGACAGCTATAATCAATAATAATCAATGCTCTCTGTAACTTTTCTCGTCTGAATGGAGATGTTTTCACTCTGCCTAGAATCTTCCACAGTATGGCATTAAACATATCTATCTTCATAAAGACAATTAGCTGCTAGCCTCTCTTATAAACAGTGCCTTTTACTGTGCAACAGAACCTCAACAAAAAAGTTATGCAGTGCACCTTAAACTATGACAAAGATTTCCAATATATGTATATTAAACTATGTCCAGAAAAGTACAGGGTTAGGATGATTTAGTTTTCCATAAGTTTTATAAAACTCCTGCTACACTTTGTCTCAAGTTCAAATAATTGACAGCATAGTGACAGGAAGGGCATCTGGTCTAAAAAAGTACCCTAATAATTCACCGTATCAACTTAGGAAAAGTACTTTTTTTTCTAATAATACCGGCAAACTCCAAATTGAGTTTGAGGTATGATACAGAGATAGCTTCTTGGATGAGACGTAAATGCCAGTCCATATGATTTCTTTTTTGTGATTGAATTAGCTTGGATGACAGAGAATCCTCCCACCCAGATATAATGGAAGAGTGATGCTTCGGAGAGGGATCCATTTTGTTACTCTCAGAACTTGTCAGAACTAGTTTTTTTTTTTTTTAACTTTAGTTTGAAACGTAACTACTGACTACCAGTTTTACATAACAGCCCCTGAACAATATTTTATTCTGACATAGTTGGAGTTATTGGTGAGTTCAAATGTACAAATTTAAGTTTAATAATGCCCTTTCTGACTCTGCACCTTTTGAATTGTTTTGATCAAAAATCCATTTTGGATTTTCCACAGAAATGAGCTGCCACTCCTCCTTTCACGGTCATCTGTCAAACTTGCTCTGCTCATTTGACTTTAAGATCACCCCGACACGTACAAGATAAGAGTAATATACCGAACCATCTTTTATGTTGTAATAAGAAATACTGATACCAATGACATACACAAAAACACTGGTAAAGAATTTTTGGAAAATCACTAATCAGATTATCTTTCACTAAAGGCTGATGACAGGTAAACTGTGAATAGTTATTTGAATTCTTATAATCAGACTACAGCTGGAGTCCAATTGCACATATGCTGTGTTATGATACTAAAAATAATTAAAATGCTGATAATGAATGCTGATAATGAAAAACACTGTTTATTTAAGCAATAGAATGTAATTTTCAACATTAAATAATAGTACTTTCTTTTAAATCACCATATCTGTGTAATCCCTTAGTCATCCAGGTCTGTTCCATGGGTGGTCCATGGTTGTATACTTGTCTATGTGGTCTCATACTCGTTCTGATTCAGCTCAAGATCATTCTAAAGCTGTTCTGGAAAGGCCCATTTCTGTCCTGTGAATGTGACTTTTTTAGTGTTGATACTTATATCTAGTTTATGTACTAGTTTTAGGATGGATTAGTATTTGATTTTCAATACTTTTGACAATAAAGTGTGCATACTCACTAAGCGAGGAAAAGCTTTCCACTTAACAATAAGGGGCCAGCATTTAGACAGGTGTTATCACTCAGTTTAGACCAGCCCACATTAGCAATTCTTTGCATTTCTCTGGAGAAATCAGACTATAATCAGACAACAGATGTACTCAGAGTCCTCTTGTTAATATGATGAGTGAGGTGAGCATACAGCACCGAGCATTTAGGTCCTACAGAAAATGATATTTTTAGCACGGCTGTCTCATTTTGTGTGGCCTTGAAGCTGGCACAAAAACCTTGTTTCCACTGATTCACTTGGAACAGTGTTCCAGTGTTTGGAACTCCATTGTCAATACCGTCCTGTTTGAGGGGTCTGAAGGCATTTTTGCAGACATAATTTCTCACCGAATGTTGATCTTGATTTTGTGATAAGCTGCTGTATTTCAAGTTATGGCAATTTAACTGCTGAGCCGACATGCTGCAACAGCTGTTTCCTGTTTATGGATTCATGACACTCATGTATAAAGATCAAACACATGAGACAAACCCAGTGCAAAAGACACTACAATGTGGTGCAGAAATGAAATAAATGCAGAAAATCTGGAAACTGGAAAAAGTTTGTGTTTTCTCTAGCTTTAGCCTTATCTCACAGCACCACAAACTTGGAAACTAAACATCTAAACTAAACATCTTTTTGTGAATCGTTGAGATTGGCAATACAATTTTGAGTATAATTCAGATACGATTTAAATTTTATTTATTCAGACAACAAGAGTTCTGTTTGGGTGACATCAGTGTCTCATGGAGCAGAGCTTTGCCCCTGGAGTCCTCAGGCCGTGGAAACACAGCTGAGCTGAAGACCTGCTCCAAGGCGTCCCCAAACGAACCTTGTCAGTGAAAAAGAGGCTGAAGAGTTCACTGACCTGTTGGTTTAAGGCAAAAGTTCACATTATGGTTACAGAGATGAGAGCATTGAGTGTGGAGCTTCTTCAAAGACAGTTGGGCCGCTTCATGAATAAATGATGTGGATTTAATGTCCTTCAAATGAAAATCTGCTGCAGAGGCCATCATCCCCTCTGCATACACAACAATCACAAAGATAAACTTAAGAGGTGCATTATTTATATTACTGAGTGGGACCTCTCTGGTCTCTGCACCATACCTGACTATGCATTAATACTATTGCGACATTGCTATATCACAATTTTGAATCTCTCACAGTAGTAACACAAACTATTTGAACTCCAAGTTTCTAATTCAACTTATTTATTGTGCTTTAATATTATAACCATAATAATTGCACAAGAGGTCATACTGTGTATATGTTACAGAAGTAACATAGATAGCATCTATTGGTAAAAAGTGAGAATGCACCAGGAGCCAAAGATATCAATTTAAAATGTCAATGTAATTTCCAATCAGTTACAAATACCCTTACTTGATAAATAGTTTCCTCTGATCCTTCTCATCTGACCACTCTTGCACCACTACTTTGTACTTCTACTTTTAATATTGTTTTGAAGTAAGAGTATTCTAGTAAATGTTTTGGCTACTCTGCCCACCGCTACTGAGTGTATGAGCATAAGTGAGTGTGCAGACAGCAGCACTAAAGTTACTGTCTCACTGGGCTTTCTGCACCATCACTGTTAATGATTTTACACTTGTTCTTCAGGGAAAGTAATTAGAGAAGTTGTGGTCTGTAAACACCACCACTTTTCAGTTTTAATTATAATCTAAAAGCCAGTCAGCTTTTGTGTAATTGCTGAGCGTTTTTGAGAAACTATTTTGTGAGGTTCATTAATTTAGAAGCTTGAGTTGGATAAATCGTGTATGACATGTGCAATTTTAATGAGAATGTGAAGATGAACTTTATTGTCCCTTTATGGAAATTTGTCTTGTCTGCATTTGACCACGGGACAGCCTGTCAGGAGTATAATTATTTTGCATTGCCAAATGTCCATCATCTTATATAGTGATCAAACATGCATGCCCCAGAAATGATTTGTGCAACATATAAACCTGTTGAAGTGACTCTACGTTTGAAAGCTGTTGTGAGTATTAACCTGTGTTCTGTCTTCTCTCTGCAGGCTCGGGAGACAGTCCTGAAGTTTGATGGAGGGCCATGCTCTTCAAACAGCAGGCACAGCTCAGACAGAAGCTCCTGGTTCTGGGCAGCCTTGCTATTGGAAGTGTGCTGTATCTGGTGGCCCGTGTGGGGACTTTGGAAAGGTAAGTCTAATCCAGTAGCCTTAGTTCTAGTCACATAAGCATTGGCTCAAGTGGACAATTATGATACATACTCTAACCGAGCTTGCTGTTAAAACCTCTATAGCTCTTGCCTCTCATAAAGCTGTGAATATGTAATAGATGTGCTGTCTTACAGTGATCCTATGGCATGTTTTCCAGGCTGCAGCCAGTCTGCCACGTGGAGCACAGCCTGCTTCCTGCGCCTGAACAGATCCCACTGCGGAGCCTCCAGTTCAAACGCGCTCTGCTCCATGAGCTGCGCCGAGGCAATGGCACAAAGGAGCAGCTGGGGCTGCAGCGGCTGGTGCAGCAGCTGCCTCAAGCCATCATCATCGGGGTGCGGAAGGGCGGCACGAGGGCGCTCCTGGAGATGCTTAACCTGCACCCGGCTGTGGTCAAAGCATCACAGGAAATACACTTCTTTGACAATGACAAGAACTATGCTCGTGGCATTGAGTGGTACAGGAGCAAAATGCCCTTCTCTTTCCCCCATCAGATCACAATTGAAAAGAGCCCTGCATACTTCATCACAGACGAGGTCCCTGAACGCATCTTCAAGATGAACTCCTCCATCAAGCTACTCATTATTGTGAGAGAGCCCACCACCAGAGCTGTGTCAGACTACACACAAGTGCTGGAGGGTAAAGAACGCAAAAACAAAACCTACCACAAGTTTGAGAAACTAGCCATAGACTCTAGTACATTTGAGGTGAACACGAAGTACAAAGCTGTCCGTACCAGCATTTACACTAAACACCTGGAGCGCTGGCTCAAGTTTTTTCCTGTGGAGCAGTTCCATATTGTAGATGGAGACCGCCTCATCACAGACCCTCTGTCTGAGCTGACGCTGGTGGAACAGTTCCTCCACCTCCCGCCCAGAATCAGCCCCTTCAACCTCTACTTTAATGCCACCAGGGGGTTTTACTGCTTGCGATTCAACATTGTCTTCAGCAAGTGCCTAGCAGGCAGCAAAGGACGCATCCATCCTGAGGTAGAGCCCTCTGTGCTGACCAAACTGCAGCGCTTCTTCCACCCTTTCAACCAGAAGTTTTACCAGATCACTGGACGGACCTTCACCTGGCCTTGATCCTCACAGCTTTGCTCCAGACTGTGTGTGTCTAGGATTTATGCATAAATCAGCTCTAAACACTTTGTATTTTATCTTCTGAAGAAAAAGTATAAACATCAAGGCAAAACACCATACAAAGAGCATCCATCCATTTTTTTCTGCTAAATATTTATTGTATGCTGACCACTAGGTATGCTCACTTCAAGACAGACCTGCTGATGTTCAAAATAGGCATGCTTTGAGTGAACTGGAGCACTATTCAAAACATTTATATAAACTGCAGAAGAGATTAACTCAAATGACCCCTATGATATTCATACAAAAAATATCCTTCTCTAGTTTTGTCAGGAATTATCTGTTAATTAGATGTTTGCCGTTTGGGGCATTAAAGCAGGTGTATTAACATATGTTACTGAATAAAAATGTTTAACTATATTTTTAACTGCAGGACCTTTTATTTATTTATTTTTCTTATTTATTTGTCAACTTTTCTAATGTCAGTATCTAACTGAACTGTGTAAACCTGAACTTGCTATTTGAAAAACAGTGTCCCGCTTCTATTGGTATTGTACATGAATATAACAAGATGGTACTCTATACCACTATTACGTTTATCTTCATCATGATTAAAAGTATGATCTGCATTCCATTGCAGATCTCAGTGTTTAACATTTACAAGAATTTTGATGTTTTTTGTCTTCTCCCTGTATTTATTGAGTCAAATGTGGTGGAACAAAATGTAATTTATGTTTGTGTCAACAGCCTATATTCTAAAACAATACAGGATCTAAAAAAAAAACAAATTTACACATCACTGATTGTCAAGACATATGTGTTTTACATTCTAAGGATGGTTCTAGTGTGAAATAGATTATATTGTTTATTAATGAGGTGTGTATGAGTGTCTATGTGCCATGACATGTCTTACCCCATTGAGGACTCGGACTGCATTTTTTTTAATCTCTTGATTTGTTGGTCAGCACTTTTCAACCAAGCATTACTACCCTTTACATAATTTACTTTTGTTATAGTTTTGGCTCTTTTGGCATTACATAGGCATAAAGTATGGGATGAAGAGATCAGGGGCCCCCACTTAAAGTACGGGCCCGCCCCGCCCCCTCGCCTTGGCCCCTCCCTCTGCTCCGCTGGCTCTGTGTTCTTCTGTGTTGATGCCGTCCATGCGATCTTCATCTGCTAAATCTGCAACTTTGTGAGGTAGTGTTGTAAACATGGCCTACACGACTGCCGGGGGGACCAAGAAGAAGGTGTGCTACTACTATGACGGTAAGTCCCGCACAGGAGCCACCTGGGCATCTGGGCTAGTGTTAGCCTCTGAGCTAACGCTAATGCATTAATGTGTGTCTGTGCAGCTAGCATAGCTAACGAGGAGGTGTTAATGAGCGGTGTTGTGTCGCTCTTGACGGGTTAGATATTTCACTCGGATACACCGCGGATTTATGTAGTATTTTCATATTCACCGCGGGTCAAAGTGATCTGATCACGAGTGCAGTTAGGCTTCTGTAAATGAATGAGACTGATGTAGTGTAGATTGGACCGAAGCGTCGTGCCAGACACTGGTCGTTACGCACGCTCATTGTCTGAGTACTGTTCAATAGAAAAGATTTTCTCTTTTCTAGCGGTGGGACCTGGGGGCTAGTGAAGTTAAGCATCTTATATAGAACTATCTAAATGCTGACTTACAATGTTATTCTTGTTGTAAGAGTAACAGATGAGTTAAAAACTCTTTTATACCGAAAAAAGATCCAAGATTCCATAAAATATGGCGTTATTATAGGTCTATGTGCATAGTTGCATAAATTATGTGGACCGCTCAGTTTGTGACTACTACAGCCTTTGAGCAGATGTGATAGTGGACAAAATATATTTATGGTAAATTAAGGCCTACGTTTTAAAATGAACATGCTTATAATGAACAATCATTATTCAGTATCAATGACGTCTTACAGGTGACATTGGAAATTATTACTATGGCCAAGGACATCCGATGAAGCCACATCGCATCAGAATGACACACAACCTTCTCCTGAACTATGGACTGTACAGGAAAATGGAGATCTATGTAAGTGTAAACAAATTAGATCCACACAGATAAACAATTTCAGTTTTTTTACTGTATGCTGTGCTCGTTACAGAGACCACACAAAGCCACTGCAGAAGAAATGACCAAGTACCACAGTGACGATTACATCAAGTTCCTCCGATCAATAAGGCCTGACAACATGTCCGAGTTTAGCAAGCAGATGCAGAGATGTGAGTTCTGATTTATTTATATAAAAAACATATTCTGAGCTGTGTAGTATTTGCACTGCACACGTCCAGGAGTACTGCTGACATATGACCTCAACAATTGTGCATCACTATGCAATAATCAAAAATGCACCTGAAACTCCTAACAGTGGATTATTTTGTTGGATAGCTGAACATGCAGCTTAATACATACATTCTTTGAACATATGACCACTGCACTTGTTTAATGTGCATTATACCAAAGGCCTTCTTAAGGTAAGACGTTTTTTGTTTTGCAGTCAATGTGGGAGAAGACTGTCCTGTATTTGATGGCCTGTTTGAGTTCTGTCAGCTTTCTTCTGGAGGCTCTGCTGGTAAGTACTAAGTAACAACACATGGCATAAAAAAGTGTTTAAAGACCTCTGGGCACCCTAGCAAACATTAATGAGTTTTTAAGTGGTCACCAGAGTAATATAGACTGAATGTTGTGTGATGCTCCACTGCAGTGCTTAGTGTTAGGCCAGTGATACAGATAATATTTCTTATCTAGAGTAGGTTTTTTGTGTTCAAAAGTGTGTAGATAGATAATCCTTTAACCAATAGGCTGTTATTTTGCTCAGCTGGCTCAGTGAAGCTGAACAGACAGCAGACTGACATTGCAGTAAACTGGGCTGGAGGTCTTCACCATGCTAAGAAATCAGAGGCGTCTGGCTTCTGCTACGTCAATGACATCGTGTTGGCAATCCTGGAGCTGCTCAAGTGGGTTCGAACCTATTGTCTATATTGTAGCCCTTATTTATTGTAAAACGGGGTTGCTTCATTATGTATTGGCCTCTTTCTTCTTGCTGTGTTGCACAGGTACCACCAGAGGGTGCTGTACATAGACATCGACATCCACCATGGCGATGGGGTGGAAGAGGCCTTTTACACCACAGATCGGGTCATGACTGTGTCCTTCCATAAATACGGAGAGTACTTCCCCGGAACTGGAGACCTCAGGGTGAGCCATGGACAGACTGAACCAGTTGTCCCACAGGCTTTTCTATTCTCAGACTTCACTCTGCTGCTGCACAGTAGATAAAACTCTGCTTCAGTTTCTCGATACATATAACAACTGCCACTTTTTAATGGCAAAATAGGGTAAATCTTTGTCATCTGTAGAATGCTGTATGTTGATTATTATTGTCTGTAGGATATTGGAGCTGGGAAAGGCAAATATTATGCTGTCAACTTTCCTCTGCGAGATGGCATTGATGATGAGTCATATGAACAAATCTTCAAACCAGTGAGTGTGGACATTTACAAACTATTACAATTTTATACACAAAACTAACTTTTATGTGATGGTTGCAGGTAATGGCCAAAGTGATGGAGATGTACCAGCCCAGTGCCATTGTTCTTCAGTGTGGAGCAGACTCTTTGTCTGGGGACCGACTTGGCTGCTTTAACCTGACCATCCGAGGTGAGAGTGCGGTTACTTCAACTGCACAAGCTAGAATGATGTGATGAGTGATAACTGTGGGCTATTTGTCTGGTCAGGACATGCCAAGTGTGTGGAGTACATGAAGTCCTTTAACCTGCCTCTGCTGATGCTGGGAGGAGGGGGGTACACCATCCGAAACGTGGCCCGCTGCTGGACCTATGAAACAGCTGTGGCACTGGACACAGAGATCCCTGATGGTCAGCCAACATGTGTCTAACCTTATTTATATAATTTGCACAGTCTTCATTAATTTGCCATTTTTTTTGTCTTAATTTTAACCTTTTAAGGTAAATAAGAGTGAGCTGTCGTTCTTCACCTTTTTCAGTCACAGCCCCGTGATAGCAATCATTGTGTTTTGGGGTTGCAAAGGCCAAAGAAATAGACTACAAAATGTGTTTTTTAAAATCTTATTGGAAATAAGCCTATTTAGATTTATTTTGTAAACCAACATTGACAGCTGCATTAGAATGGTGTTATGCTTTAATATCTCAATACCCCAAGGCTGAGAACTCATCAGATTAGAGTACCCGCAATTCTTCAGCATGATAGCCATTCAGTCCTTTTACTGTTGCCACGGCCATAACACTGTGTCTCTGACCTTTGTCATGTTGTCTTTTGCAGAACTACCATACAATGACTATTTTGAATACTTTGGACCAGATTTCAAACTGCACATCAGCCCATCCAACATGACCAACCAGAACACGCAGGAGTACATGGACAAAATAAAGTATGGTTTATTCTGAGTTCCCTTAAGTTTACTTGTTAGTTATGCTCTAAGTGTAAGTGCTCCCTCTCTCTCTGACAGGCAGCGCCTCTTTGAGAACCTGCGCATGTTGCCTCATGCTCCAGGGGTGCAGATGCAGGCCATCCCAGAGGACGCTGTCCCAGAAGACACAGTGGACGAGGATAAAGAGGACCCAGACAAACGCCTCTCCAGTAAGACCCTCTTCTCGCATTTTCATATGGGCTTTAGAAATAATTGAGGAAGTGACAATAAATACATGAAAGTGGATGTTAATGTCTCAACAGATACGGTTGTCTTTAATCTTTAAATATGCCTACCAACATTTACTCAAATACCATAATTAAAGGTGCACTGTGTAACATTTCAGGTTGTGGTTCTGGGACCTGCTTGTATGAATGTTCAGTAGTAGATAAAAAAAAACGTACCAAAGCATGCATTCTTGAACTGACCAGGGTCACCTGTTCACATGTCTGACACGGAAATGGTTCAGTACAAAACTGTTGCAAATTCCAGGCAAAACATTAACATCTCCATGGAGACAAGCATGTGATTGAAAAGCTACATAGTTCACCTTATAAAATTAGAGTCTTAACTTTTGATGAACAATATTATTGTTGTTTCATTGTTACCATTGTTGTTTCAGTTCGGGCCACAGACAAGAGGATTGCCTGTGATGAAGAGTTTTCAGACTCTGAGGATGAAGGAGAGGGAGGCAGGAGGAACATAGCCAACAATAAGAAGGGAGCCAAGCGGCCGCGAGTGGAAGAGGACAAGAAGGAAGGCGACGAAAAGAAGACCGGTATGCTTTACAATGTGACACTTTGAGGACCACGTACTGGCTTTATTTCTGGCTTCATAACAAACAAATTATCTGTTCATTCCCTCAGAAATTAAAGAGGAAGACAAGTCGAAAGACATTGGTGCTGAAAAAACAGATTCTAAAAGGTAATGGCTTTA